CATATTTGGCTGTTGGGCCGTATTTCCGTTTCCATTTTATTATATTTAATTTGGGCCTCAAGTGAGTCCATTAAATAGGCCTAAATATGATGATTAACCTTGGGCCCTTAACTAGATCCACCTAGCTCAAGTAGGTTATCATGCACCTAGTAGCTTAATTAAGCCAAGAAAGCAGCTCACCATTTTATTCCATTCTCTATATATTAATCCCTTTTGACTTAGCTTAGTATTTACATTTGAACCTTAACTCTATTACCACCTTACAATCTTGAGTTTAAATACTTCTGTCGGGGTTAACTTGGAGTACACATGCTATAACGTGTAAGACATCACATCATCTTCCAAGCTAGTTTAAACCAACTATAATTATATAAGAGACATGGTCCCTCACCTATACGATAAGGCTATGTTAAGTATTATATGAATAGAACTAGCATATGCGTAACACAGGGTGTTACATCCTCCCCCCCCCCACTTAAAAACATTCATCCTCGAATGTTAGCATGGTTACCCAGCCCAAAAAACTTCAAGCCTAAGTTACGTACTACTATTAATCCATAATACAGATAAACTTTTACTTACTTGTCAATGCCTCAACTCAACATTTTCATATTTCTCATCGATTTGGAAGAGATGAGGATGTTTTAGTTTCATTGCTTCTTCTGCTTCCCATGCAACTTCTTCTACTTGTTGGTTTTTCCATACTACCTTTACAGAAGCTACTTCTTTATTTCTTAACTTCCTAACTTGTCTATCCAGAATAGAAATGGGCACTTCTTCATAAGTGAGATCTCCCGTAACTTGTACAGCTTCAGTAGGAGTAACACGAGATGGGTCACCTATACACTTCTGAAGCATTGAGACGTGAAACACCGGATGCACTTTTAAAAGCTCTTGTGGTAGCTCTAACTCATAGGCTACTTGGTCAACTCTTCGAATAATCTCATATGGCACTATATAGCGGGGACTCAACTTCCCTTCTTTACCAAGCTTCATTACCCCTTTCATTGGAGCCACCTTCAAGAACACTCAATACCCTATGGAAAACTCTAGTCATCTTCTTCTAACATGTGCATATGATTTGTGTCGACTTTGAGCTGTTGCTAGACGTTGTTGTATCACCTTAACTTTTTCCATAGCTTGATGAACAAGATCTGGCCCAAATAAGGCAGTTTCACCCACTTCAAACAAACCGATTAGTGATCTAAATTTTCTACCATATAAAGATTCATAAGGTGCCATTTTAATACTTGAATGCTAGCTATTGTTGTATGAGAACTCGATCAGTGGCAAATGATCACCCCAACTACCTTTGAAGTCTAATATACAAGCTCACATCATATCCGCAAGTGTTTGAATTGTACGTTCTGCCTGACCGTCTGTTTGAGGGTTAAAAGTTGTACTTAAATTCACTTGTGTTCCCAAACTCTTCTAAAATGACTTCCAAAAAATTGCAGTGAATTGAGCTCCCTTATCAGATATAATAGAGATTGACACTCTATGTAGACGAACTATCTATTTAATATACAACCTTGCATACTCTTCAATGGTATAAGTAGTCTTGACTAGCAAGAAGTGCACTGATTTGGTCAGTCTATCAACAATAACCCATATAAAATCAAACTTACGAAATGAACGAGGCAAACAAGTGACAAAATCCATGTTGATCATGTCCCACTTCCAAATTGGAAGTTCTTTACGTTGCATATAACATCCAGGCTTTTGGTGCTCTATTTTTACTTGTTGACAATTTGGACATTGAGCCACAAATTCTGCAATGTTCTTCTTTATGTCTCCCCACCAATACACTTCTTTCAAGTCGCGATACATTTTGGTTGACCCTGGATGGACATAATATTTTGAATGATGTGCTTCCGTCATAATCCTTTTTCTTAGTCCATCTATATTGAGTGCACACAATCTGTTTTGGCATGTGAGTACTTCATCTTCCGTAAGCTCAAATGCTATTATAATACCTTTTTCTACATTCTTTCTAATTTGTGATAGAATAGGGTCCTTATACTGATTCTCTTTCACTTCAACCACTAATGAAGATTCTATCGCATTCTGCAAGATAACCCGTTCATCCAGAGACTAAAGAAAGGGAACCCCCAAGCTAGCTAATTGGTATAGAACCTTAATTATTCCATGTTTTTACAGGGACTGCCTATAGGTGATTGCAGTTGTTTTACAACTTAATGCATCAGTGTTGCGCCCAAATTGTACAGGCAAGTCCACGTGGTCGTTCAAGTATTAAAGTGGCTCTTATAAAGAGTCGGGTATCGTACCCACAAGGACTTACATTTAGAATCACTCATTTCTCCAACTTTCAGCTAAGCACAGGTATATCAATATTCCAAAAGTGATTTAGTTTATAATTCTAAAAGTTAAAATAAAATGTAACAAATGCGATTCAATTTCAAGGGTTAAAAACAATGATTAGGTAAAGTCCAGGGTTGTAGCTCTTATTAGGATTCATGCAATCATTATCATTTGAATGGGTATTTATCAACTATCGAATTGATTAATCACAGGGTTAAATGTATGATCATGGTGTCCCGACCTCTAATCGCCTACGATAAATGACAACCTAACTATATCGTTGAGCGGGGATAGGCTGGATCAAGTACAGAGCATTATGATTTCTTCCTGTATAGTGACCAAGCATGGTTTCTACGTATATCCCTATCCTAGTTACAAATTAACCCTAATTATTAACAGTTAATCATGCTCCCTATGCCCCACGTTCTATCCTCTTATTCCTCTCCCGAGTTTAATTCGAATAATGTATTTATTTCAATGGTGATTAGTCACAAAATACAAAAAATAAGAACATAGGAAAGATTCATATGATAATTGATATTAACCCAATGAAAACATAATAGATTACAATCATCCTGTAGCCAAATCCATAGAACTAGGGTATTTAACTACTCATAATCAAAGATTCGATCAAACAATGTTTTAAGTATCATAGAAGGATCGAAAGTAAAAGAGTTTAAGAAAAAAAACCCTAAGAATGATGAAAACGTTCTCTTAAGCCGTCGTTCTTCAAAACCCAGAAAAATAATTTTTCACTAAAATAAAATATTAGTCTATATATACTAAAAGTCGAAACCTGCCAAAACTGGACCACAACGGCGTGACACAGAGGAATCTTTAAATTCCCATTTGAACACAATTGCTTATCTCCGCGACGCGGGCACTCCATAGAGTGTTCTGCCTCAAACTCGCATCTCGCGAATTAATTTAGGACTCCCGCTCCGCGACACAGAGAGGTCACGGAGTGCTCTGCCTGGAATTTTATTTCACGAGCCAACTTATAATTTCTCTCCGTGTCGCAGAAAGGATACAAAGATGCCTTGATTGGCATTTCTTCAATCTTCTTCCTCGTTTCCTTTCGACCCGGATCTGTTGTGTTCCCCATTGTCCATTTTCATGGTCTTTTCTCCAATTACGCTCAGCTACACAACTAATCATGTTGGTTAGCTCATAAACACCCAAAAGATTCGATAAGACTGTAAACAAACACACATTGAATTCAAACTTAGCATAAATAGGGGCATTATTAGATTTCTGGGCATATAAATATGCCTAAGATCACTACCCCACACGTAGAGCTTTGTTCATCCTCGAACAACATACCAACTACTCCTAGACCTAGACTCTCTATTATGGTATTTGTGTGTCCGCCACTTTCTTTCAAGGATATGTAAACAGTTAACACATGCATGATTTTATTTAAAAGATGCATGACTCCTATAATTTACTTGAAAACTTTTAGCAACCAACACATTCAACAACATGTGCACTATTACATATCACCTATCCTTCATACATCAAGTGCCCCTCACTCCAAAGAACAGTCCACACACTCAAAACAACAAATTGAATATACTTTAAGGACTTTACAAACATTGGAACCCTCTCACTCAACAAAGACATCAAACATGTATGCATTGAGAACCATAAGCCTTCCCATTATGTATATCTCTACTAATAAACTGTGTTATGCTCAAAATCAAATAGGACTTGTTTCGGTTGTAATGTAGGCTTGAGGTAAGGGAGGATTCGTTTAGATAAAATTAGTTACTTATCCTCCCTAATGCACCAGATTAAACTTCCTTCCTACATTCACCACTTTTTCTTCTCTTTAGCCCTATCTTCCTTAAAATATTTCCACTAGTATTACCAACCTTACCTTTATTTCTCACTCACCCATTTATTTCCATAGCTTTTTTTTAAACACTCAACAATAACCACCCTTGACTTAGAGATTTCTCTCGAGTTAAGGTGCACATTGCCCTTGTAAGGGCCAGGGCCATCATTAAGGTATTCACTAAGTTAGCTACCTTCAACTTAGGCTTTTAACCTTAGTTGAAGTGCACACTGTCCTATGGACTAGGGCCAATCTCAGATTAAAAATTATGGGGTATCATTTTGCCACCTTTTTTCACGCTTCCCCAACAAATTAAACATTTCCACCCTATTTACTTTTTCCGTGGTTTTCACTTTTCCTCCTAGCATAGTGCATTAGGGATTTGGGATCAAAGCTAACGGTATAAAAAAAAGGATTCGGCTTCATTACATGGGTTAGAACAAAATCAAGGCTAAAAAGGCTCAATTGGGCTATACTAGGGATGTTGTTTCTGATAGGGCTAAAATTCAAGACAATTCAAAGAAAGCATATTATCATCTTCTAACCACAACAACACTCGTATTTCGCTTCAAAAACATGTCGGGCAAGTTCTAGACTCAGATGCATTCATGGATACTACAAAATATCACCACACATGTCACAAGTTCTAATCAAGAATGGTTCAATCACAACACACAATTAGTTCATGCACAAAGTCCAATTTAAGCTTAAGTTGCAATAAAGTCAAATACAAAAAGTTCAACAACATTCATATATCGACTTCAAAACATGCTTTTCATACATATTCCTTTTAGACTTTCAGCTTCAGTACAAACCAACCTAAGACTCAATGATGAAATTTCCCTTCAGACGGTCCTCATCCATCTATCATTGGGAAATGTTACTCAACTACGACTACTGACTCAATCCTACAAAGACAAAATATTTTTGTATTTTGCACGGTTCAAAGGGACTTTCCTTGGCCAAAGAACCAAAAACAACCTCCAATGAACCCAAAATAAAACAAATCAAAAATAAAATAGACTCTAACAGTGTTCAATAATAAAAATATATACAGACCAGGTATGTTTTTCACCCTTCACCCCACACTTATACATTAGCACTGTCTCTAGTGCTTAACACAAATTATCAGAACAGTTTAAGAGGTAAGGTGAAAACACTCCCTGATCAATCCTCCATAGCATCACCCCCGTCGGCCTCATCACCGGCCTGAGCGGGGCCGACCTCCTCATTAGAATTGGACTCTACGTCTGAGCTAGTACGCAAGTGCTCCTCATCAGTCAGAATATCATTATCGATTGGCTCACAAAACACATGAGCAATGCCCAGTAGGGCCTTAGCATGGTCATTCATGGGGTAACATCTCCCAACTACATATTAGTGGTAGCCAAGCAACCATTCTGATGGCACAACATCTCTAGGCCATACATTCTGGCCATAATCAGTTCATCGCGTCGATGGCGCTCAACAATGGTGAGATTTGGGCCAAACTCAGTGTCGGGCCCCTTGGTCCTAGTGATGTCCACCGATGCTGGGAATAGGGGTGCCATGTAGTCCAAATTTTCTTCAAGGACACCTGCAACACGACACATTTTGGTAATAAGGCCACCAAAAGCATACATGTGCCCTTTGTGAACCTGGGCCTTTCGCATAATAGATTTCAAAACACCTCCAATATTCAGCTTAGTTCCATTCATCAAGGCATATACCAAGCACACCCTGTCACGAATAATATTTGTGTAGTGGAGACTCGGTATCAAGTAGTTCATGACAACCTTTAGCCAAACACGCGTCTCCCTAAGAAAGTGAGCGTAGGGAAAAGATTAGTGATATCTCTTCCCACTATGCTTAGTCCATTGTGCCATGGATTGTGGACTGCATAGAGTATGTCTGATGGCACAGTATGGAGGGAATATGTTCAACCCTGTCAGCACTTGTGGATCAGTGTCCTGTGGTGTACCTAATATATCATTTATACATGCGGGAGTAAGAGGCACATTAACTCCCCTCACAGTCACAAAATGGGATCTTGTCTTCGGCGCCCAGTTGGCGTAGAACTCTCGGACCATGTGCAGGTTGCACTCTTCCAGTTCGGCAAATATAAACTCTATCCGCAGCTCCCTGATCCGCCTTAATTTCCTTGGGAAGTCCCGCGCCAGGCTGTCCCTATTAACACAAATGTCGAAAAAATACGACGCCTCAATGTGATTTTTGCACCAAGCCTTTCCTTCTTTGTAACAACTTTTATGCCAAACCGCCTTGTTTGTCCCCTGGGAACTGCAGGTGCGAATGGGACATTCCCACTCCAGAGACGTTTCCTCTGGCTCGATGTGTCCACTTCCTTGTCGGGTCTTTGTGAGCTCGACATGATTCCCTGTAAGCATAAACAAAACAACCCAAATGACTACACATCTTTGATAAAAATATGGGTGGTGTGCACACATCACCCCACACTTAGTTCATTGCAGCCTCTTGCCTGGGTACTTAGACTTCCCACAGACATACACAAGTAAACCACCGCAAACACCAACAACCTCACACATGTCTCATGAACATTCCAATTATTGACTCTTAAATATGACTCAGGACCGCGTACGACTCTATTCACACAACCAATCAATGCTCACACTTCATGCATTAATCGCCAAATTTCTGTCTACTCAATAATTCAACACTATATTCACCCAAATTGCAATGACAACATATTCAAACCCCCAAAATTTCTCTAAACCCACAGGTACATAACAATCAGGTAATTATACTCAAGATTTCAAAATCACCAATAAATTGATAGTTTAGACAGACAGTCCCAATCATGCATAACCCACCTATAATACCCTATCAATTTCAACCAAACAACCTAAACCCAACCATAAGTGATAGTAGGTGAGTTTTTTTTTTAGAAAATGGACAACACCCATAACACTCAACATACAACCTTTTAATGTGATCCAATACACTTCAAACACCACACAAAATCACACAAACAACAACCCATAGTTCTACATATCAAGATTCCCAAACTTCACTGACAAGAGTAGCAAAATACATACGTTGGATGATAGAGAAGAGTGAATTCAAGAGAGAACGATGGAACCTATGCTTTACGAATTGACACTGGAAAATCGCAAGGGAAGAGGGAGGGGGAGAAAATTGCGGTTTTGATGGGTGAAGTAATGGGAAATCTATAAAGAATTTGGGGGTTAAAAGGGACTAGGTCGGTTTATGTCCAAAGAAAAATGGGTAAAAACTCGTTCGATTAATGAAAAGCAAAATCTGCTTACCTGGGGCGCGACGCGGTGCCTTCACGAACCGTTCTGCCTCGCCGAAATTAATTAATTTTCGCGAGGCAAAATTTTACCCGGCCTCCACAACGCGAAAGCTCCACGGAGCTGGCTTCTTTTTGACGTAAATATATTTACCGTCGAATCCAAATTAATGGCCTCCCTCCGCGACACGCCCACTTCACAGATTGTTCTGCCTCGACTTGGAAAATTAATTCCAAGCGAGGCAAAATTGGCCACCCTCTCCGCGATGCGGTAGCTACACGGAGCTGCCTTGGCCCAAATTCCTGATTCCTGCATCAGCACACAACCCATTAGTAAAAATACGATGGGTTGCCTCCCATCCAGCGCCTTAGTTTTGGTCGTGACACAACTCATATTTTTGAATTTTTCTGAATATATAATTTATTTATATTACTAATTCCTGTGAATTGAAATAACAAAACAAAAGCAAATAACTAACAATTACAAAGGGTCACGGGTTGCCTCTCATGCAGCGCCTGATTTAACATTGCGGCACAACCCATCTCATGATTCACTCGTCATTCAATGTGAGCACTTCAAGCTTACGATCCACATCATTCTCAAAATTGTGCTTGACCCTTTGTCCATTCACAAGGAAAGTAGAGCTTTTGTCCTTGTTCCTTAGCTCCACAACACCATGTTGGGTCAACCTCACCACTTCAAACGGACCACTCCACTTAGACCAAAGCTTTCCAAGGAACAACTTCAACCTTGAGTTAAACAACAACACTAGTTGAGCAGGCTCAAAGGTGTATGACACAATATGCTTGTCATACCCCCTATTGGTTTTCTCTTTATAAAGCTTAGTGTTCTCATAGGCGTGGAGCCTAAATTCTTCTAACTCATGCATTTGTGTCATCCTCTTCCTTCCAGCTAATTCAACATCCAGATTCAATTTTTTAATTGCCTAATATGCCTTATGCTCCATTTAAGCTAGTAGATGACACGTTTTTCCAAACACCATTCGATAAGGAGAAGTCCCTATCAATGTCTTGTATGCAGTTCGGTATGCCCACATGGCATCATCTAGCTTGTCATCCCAATCTTTCCTTTGGGCATCCATAGTCTTTTGGAGAATCTGCTTGACTTCTCTACTAGACACTTCCACATGTCCACTAGTCTGGGGATGATATGTTGTATCCACCTTGTGTCTTACCCCGTATTTAGCTAATAAATTACTCACTGAGATAATAATAATAAAGTGTGTACCTCCATCACTGATCATAGCTCTTGGAGTTCCAAACCTTGTCAAGATGTTCTTCCTGATGAATTTCACAACCACCTTTGAATCATTGGATGGTAATGCAACAACCTCCACCCACTTGGACACGTAGTCCACTGCCACTAAGATGTATTGATTACCACGGGACGATGGGAATGGTCCCATGAAGTCTTTCCCCCAGATGTAAAAGATCTCTACCTCAAGTTTCTTAATGACATCTCATGCCTTCTAGGAATGGTGCCCATTCTTTGACACTGATCACAACCCTTCACAAACATAACAACATCTTTAAAAAGAGTAGGCCAAAAGAAACCAGATTGCAATACCTTATGTGCAGTTCGTTCGCCCGATGGTGTCCACCATATGGTTAAGAGTGAAAACTCTCCAATAATTATGTCGCCTACTGTTCAACTATACACCTTCTCATCATCTGATCAGGTCTCTGATTGAATAAAAAGGGCTCATTCCATACATAGAAGCGTGCATCATACTTCTGCATCATGTACCTACAAGTGCCACATCAAGATATTGCACCATTTCATGTGCCTCAGCATCCCCATAGATATCATCTCCTACTAACACTTGCTCTAAAAGGTCCTTATATGCAATGTATCGAGCCTCTGCCTTAAGATCTATCATAATTATGGCAGACAACTCCTCATAAACAACTGGCAACTTTAATGCCTTGTACACGTCGAACACCTCCACTTTATCATGGGCCCGCATAGTGAGTTGCCCATCAGCTACATCTATCATAGCCCGCCTAGTAGACAAGAAAGGTCTTCCTAAGATGAATGGGACCTCAGGACCTGGCTCAAAATTCAACACAACAAAGTCTACTAGGAATATCAACGATCTCACTTGCACTAAAATATCCTCTACAACACCCTCAGGCCTAGCAACAAATCTGTCAGCCAACTGTAAGATGATGGTAGTAGGTTTAGGACTACCCAACCCCAGATTTTTGTATAACAAAGTTGGCATTAAATTAATACTAGTTCCTAGATCACACAATCCTAGCGCATGAATGCTCTGCCCTATAGTGATCTGAACTGTAAAGCTACCCGTATATTTTAGTTTAGTGGGCAACTTATTTTGGATTTCAGAGCTGCACTATTTAGTAAGTACAACAGTCTCATAATTAGTCAGCCTCCTATTGTTCGCCACAATCTCCTTCACATATTTCGTATACCTAGGTATACCCTGCAAAACATCTACCAATGGCAAGTTAATGTGAACTTGTTTTAAAAGAGAGAGAAATTTACCAAAACATTCCTCCTCCTTCTGTTTCTTGAACTTTTGAGGGAATGGAGAAGGTGGTTTCACCATTGGTTGCACTCGTTCTTCTTGTGCAACAACTTCGCTCTCCTTAGGTTCACTCTCTTTCATCACAACTTCAGTGTTTCTTTTTTAGGAGCTAACTCCTCCAATTGCAAACCACTGCGAGTACCTACCGCGTTTACCTGCTTGGGATTTGGATCAGTGTTTCCCGGCAAACTTCCTTGCGATCTTGAGTTTTAGGCACCAGCAAATTGCCCGTACTGCATCTCCAGATTCTGTGTAGCCAACTAATTATTTCTCACATCAGCAGCTAACTGGGCTTGATCAGCCATGATCTTTTTCAGCATCTCCTCCATGCTCATGTTACCAGACTGCTTGTTAGGCTGCTCCCATTGGACCTGTGGTTGGTATCTTTGTGCATTTCCTTGGGGTCTATATATTGATTTTGGCCTTGAGCCTGATTTTGATTTCCATCCCAAGAAAAGTTTGGATGGTTGTGCCAACTTGGGTTGTAAGAGTTTCCATAATTTTGGTTACCTCCTCCTCGTTGTGCATTTCCTACAAAATTAACAGAATCCTGGTTTGCACCATATACCTCTCCACTATGATCACCACCTCCGCAGATCTCATACCAATTTCATGGTTGTTGAACTGCATTCACCTGTGAGAGCGGTTGTCCCAATGCTAGATTGTTGAAGAGGGTGTTTATCATATTCTGCATTGTAGCATTCTGTGCAGTTAAAGAAGTCACTGCATCTACTTCTAGCATACCTGCAGTTTTTTATATCCAGGTTTCACCCCTACTCCGTTCTGTTCAGGGTTACCTTGTGAAATCCTGTTCTGCAAGGTGAATAGCTCAGCATATGTCTTTTCCAAAGCCTGACCACCTACAACTGAATCAAGTAGAATTTTGGTGTTAGGCTCCAATCCTTCAATGAAGGTATGGACTAACACCTCATTACATTGATGATGATGTGGGCAGCTCATCAACATCAATTTAAACCTGTCCCAAGCTTGGTAAAAGTTCTCTCCCCCTTTCTGTCTAAAACTCTGAATGTCGCTCCTCAACTTAGCTGTTTTCCAGATGGAAAAAATCTAATGAGGAACTTCTGTGCCAGGTCATTCCAGGTGGTAATTGAGTTTGTGGGCTCTGAGTTTAACGATCTTTTTGCTTCCCCAATCAGAGAAAAGAGGAATAAAGTGAGTCTCACGTAATCCTCATTTACTCTAGTTGGAGTGTAAGTATCACTGATCACGAGGAAGTTTTCGATGTGGACTGTTGGATCCTCGTGTGATAGACCAGTGAACGGCCCATTAGTATGCAATAGTTGCACCATACTCTGCTTCAGTTCAAACCTTCCACCAACTGCACGTTTCTAATTGCATGATGTCACGTTTGTGGTACGTGTGATTACCACATCTCTTACCTTCATCTCAGCCATTATTTCAGGTTCCTCTTACTCAACTCTTGCTACTAGAGATGTTGGTTCACTAACAACAAGAGGGACCGGATAAGTGAGTCATCTTTACCTTCTCCGATAGTGAACGAATCTTTCCGGTTCAGTTAGAAACTCTACCAATCCTTGATCGTCGTCCAGTTTTAAATTTCAGAACAACCTGCAATAATGAATTGCTAAGATCAAGTTGTCAACACTTGCTTTTTAACTTCCGAAATAAGAAAAATCAAATAATTCCTAATTTTAAAGTCCCCGGTAGTGGCGCCAAAAACTTGTTGCACCCAAATCGCACACGCAAGTGCACGTGGACGTTCAAGGTACCCACAGGGACTCACGTTTAGAATCACTCAATTTCTCCAACTTTAAACTAAGCACAAGTGTCTCAATATTCCAAAAGTGATTTAGTTTATATATCTAAAAGTTAAAATAAAATGTAACAAACGCGATTCAATTTCAAGGGTTAAAAATAATGATTAGCTAAAGTCCAGGGGTGCAACTCTTATCAGGATTCATGCAATCATTATCATTTAAATGGGTATTTATCAACTATAAAATTAATGAATTACAGGGTTAAATGTATGATCATGGTCTCCCGACCTCTAATTGCCTACCATAAATGACAACCTAACTACATCGTTGAGCGGGGATAGGCTGGACCAAGTACTGAGCATTACGATTTCTTCCTTCATAGTGACCAAGCATGGTTTCTAGGTATATCCCTATCCTAGATACAAATTAACCCTAATTACTAAGAGTTAATCATGCTCCCTATACCCCACGTTCTATCCTCTTATTCCTCTCCCGAGTTCATTTCGAACAATGTATTTATTTCAATGGTGATCAGTCACGAAATACAAAAAAATAAGAACATAAGAAAGATTCATATGATAATTGATATTAACCCAATGAAAACTTAATAGATTACAATCATCCTGTAGCCACAACCCTAGAACTAGGGTATTTAGCTACTCATAATTAAAGATCCGATGAAACAATGTTTAAGTATCATAGAAGGATTGAAAGTAAAAGAATTTAGGAAAAAAAACCCTAAGAATGATGAAAACGTTCTCCCAAGTCGTCGTTCTTCAAAACCCATAAAAAGAAGTTTTTACTAAAATAAAATATTAGTCTATATATACTAAAAGTTGAAACGGCCAAAACAGGACTACAACAGTACGATGCATAGGCATCTTTAAATTCCCATTCGAACACAATTGCTCATCTCCGCGACGCGGGCACCCATGGAGTTTTATGCCTCAAACGCGCATCTCGTGAATTAATTTAGGACTCCCTCTCCGCGCCGTGGAGAGGGCACAAAGTGCTCAGCCTGGAATTTTATTTCACGAGCCAACTTATAAGTTTTCTCCGCGACGCATGGAGGATACGGAGATGCCTTGATTGACATTCCTTCAATCTTCTTCCTCGCTTCCTTTTGACCCGAATTTGTTGTGTTCCCCATTGTCCATTTTCGTGCTCGTTTCTCCAATTAAGCTTACCTGCACAACTAATCATATTGGTTAGCTCATAAACACCCAAAAGACTCGATAACACTATAAACAAACACACATTGAATTCAAACTTAGCCTAAATACAGGCATTATTAGGATTCTGGGCATAGAAATATGCCTAAAATCAATCAGCTACTACATTTGATTTCCCGGGATGATATAAGTTATCAATGTCATAATCATTTAATAACTCAAGCCACCTTCGCTGCCTCAAATTTAGGACCTTTTTATTAAAGATATATTGCAAACTCTTGTGATCAGTATATATGTCAACATGGACTCCATTCAAGTAGTGGCGCCATATCTTCAAAGCAAATACAACTGTTTGTAGCTCTAGATCATGGGTTGAATAATTTTTCTCATGTAGTCGTAGCTGCCTTGAGCCTTAAGCTATTATTTTACCGTGTTGCATCAATACACATCCTAAGCCCACTCCCGAAGAATCACAATACACTACATACCCTTTCATGACTTCTGGAAGTATCAATACATGTGTAGAGGGTAATTTATTCTGCAGCACTTGGAAGCTTCTTTCACTTGCATCACTCCATTGGAAATTGGTTGATTTGTGTATTAGATTTCTTAAGGGTGGAGTAATTTAAGAGAATCCTTGAACAAAACTTCTATAGTAACCTACCAATCCAGAAAAACTCTGAATCTTAGTTGGCATTATAGGTCTTGGCTAGTTTTTCACAACTTCTATCTTTTGAGCATCAACCTTTATTCCTACAACAAATACAATATGACCTAAGAATTCCACAGATTTCAACTAAAACTCACATTTAGAGAACTTCGCATACAACTTACGATGACGAAGAATTCGTAAAACCTGCCATAAGTAATTAGCATGGTCCTCTTCCGATCTTAAGTACACCAAAATTTCATCTATGAAGACTATCACGAACACATCTAAAAATAGCTTGAACACCCTATTCATCAAATGCATAAAGGGTGTTGGTGCATTTGTCAGCCCGAATAACCTGACTAAAAACTCAAAATGACCATACCGTGTTCGGAATGCTGTCTTGGGTATATCTTTGTTTTGACCCTCATTTGGTGATAACCCGACCTCAAGTCGATCTTTGAAAAACTCTTAGCACCTTGCAACAGATCAAACAAATCATCAGTTCTAGGGAGGGGATATTTGTTCTTAATTGTTACTTTATTCAACTATCGGTAGTCAATGCACATTCTCAACGATCCATATTTCTTACGTACAAACAAAACTGGTGCTCCCCATTAGGACATACTAGGCCTTATGGATCCTTTTCCGAATAAATCTTTTAATTGCTCCTTCAACTTCCATAATTCTGCTGGGACCATTCTATATGGAGGGATGGAGATAGGTTGAATATCTGAAATCACATCAACACCAAACTCTACTTCTCGTTATGGAGGCAACCTAGAAGATCTTCTGGAAATACATCAAGAAATTCATTTACCACCGAAATGGATTGAAGAGTTGGCGGCTCGGCATCTATATTTTTCACTCTGACCAGATGACATATGTAGCCTTTGGATATCATCTTCTTTGCCTTAAGATAAGAAATAAATTTACCTCTTAGCTCCCCAATATTACCTTTCCATTCGAGGACTGCCTTTTTTAGAAAATGGAAATGCACTATTTTAGTTATACAATCTACCGTGGAATAACAAGAAGCTAACCAATCCATACCCATTATAAAATCAAAATCTATCATTTCTAGTTCAACAAGGTTAGCCAATGTATCACGTTCACAAACAGTTACTTTGCAATTACGATAGACCCTTCTATCTATAATAGACTCGCCAACCGGCATAGACATTTCAAATGGTTTAACCAATAATTCTGGTATTTTTTCAAAGTTCCCAGCAATCCATGGAGTGTCATATGATAGTGTAGACCCTGGATCAATTAATGCATACACATTATGTGAAAATATGGAAAATGTACATGTAACCACATCCGGCGAGGCTTCCAAATTTTTTCGATCCCCTGGAGCATATGTGCGATTCTGAACTCTACTAGAATTAGTTGCTCCCCTAGCTCCTCTACCACGATCAGTAGGCATCTATCCCCTACCTAAAGAAGGTGTTGATGATGATGATGCAACAATTGATCTAGTAGGTTGTTCCATACTACCCACACCTCTATGAGGGTAAT